GAATCTCATCAAATCAAGAACGCCTGCTGTGCCACGATGGCAAAGCCCTCAAAACTCTTCCCACTTGTCAATGAATTTGCACACGGTCTCTGGCTAATGAAAATTTCCAGTAGGAGATCAACGCCTCCCCCTCCTCCTCCTACTTCTCCTCCTCCTCCTCCTCGCCCACCACATCCTCTTCCTCTCCATTGCTTATTCCGAATACTACCCCAGGTCCGCAAATCGATTTTCTTCTTGTCGTAGAGACTGGCACCATCCTCGTGATGGCCATCTCTCTCCTTTGCTGTCACCATAGCCGTTCCATGCGTCTCGAAGCACCCTTTCGTCTTCCTCTTTTTTTTTCTCTTTTCTCTTTTTTCGTTCTTTTTTCTTTTTTTTTTCTTCCTTTTTTTATCCCCTGAGGAGCAGCGGCGGCCATGCTAATCTTCAGTCTCTGTATCGTTCCAATTATTCCAATTATAACGGATCCTCAGTCGGGATCTCGAAGGACATTCCTCTCTCTTTTCCTCCGCCTCCCTCCTCGTTTTCACAGTTCTTGTCCTTTTTCCGATACGGGGATCCTCAGTCGGGATCGCGGTCTCTGGATATGGCGATGGCAGCACCGGCCGAGGAAGACCTGGCCGAACGTCGACATACGTCCTCGTTAGATTACTCCGACTCTTTTTTTTTTTTTTTTTTTTTCTCGCTCTCTCTTTTGCACTTACACGAATAAATCAAGAAATTGTCCAAATTAAAAAAAAAAAAAAAAAACAGATACATGCAATTGGACTGAATGAATCTCCCCGTACTTGCAAAAGGATTACATGCAAGGTCATCAACGTCCGTACTTGATTTTTTATTATTATTTTTTTTTGTTTTGCCACCTTGTCACTCACCTTTTTTTCCCCTCCATTTTTCTTTTCTTTGAAAATGGGTGATGACCTTGAGACTTGAGATATCATATCGCCAAACTGGCCAACCCCAACGGTAAATTCTGAGTTATTTACTCATACGAGTTAGTCCGGGGGCTAAGTCCCACTTACCTGAATCCTCGATTTCGAGCCGTAGATTATGAAGATCAACGGCCACAAATGAAAAGGCTGGCCATGTGGGACCCGGTCCCGGTTTGGAACTGAGGTCCTTTTATTTCAACAGTTAGTAGGTGTACCAACCATGCAGGTCCGTTGGTCTTTCTGCTTTTCTTTTCTTTTCTTTTTTCCTTTTTTCTTGCTTTTTTTTTTCACGTTCTTCTTTTCTTTTTTTTTTTTTTTTTCTCGATGGACCACGGATTATATACTTCGGTCTTTCTTTCTTCTTTTCTCAATGGAGCGCGCGGACCATATACCGAATCTACGCTTGATCTCGGCCACATACACGATTTTCCTATTTCCTATTATCTGATGTTGGCGCAGAGGAACGATGGAGAGCACTGAGCTCCTTCAACCAAGTTCCCGCCAAAAAGGGTTGGGGCGGGAACTTCAACCAAGTTCCCGCCAAAATCCAAGTTCCCGCCAAAAAGGGTTGGGGCGGGACCTTCAACCAAGTTCCCGCCAAAAAACAAGTTCCCGCTAAAAAGGGTTGGGGTTACTGCATCGTCACCTCGCCCTCTTACTGGGATTGAGGTGGCTGATGAATTAGGCCAGATGCATTGCGACCTATGTCCTACGGTCGCGTGGATGGGTGACAAAAACAAAAACTACAGCGATTCCCATCTCGCCTCAGGGGTGAGGTCCCACTAGCAAAGAGGATTGGATTGAACGCCTGAATCTCGCCGCTGTTGTGGACAAGTGCAGAAAATCGAGATTGAACTCCTGTTCTGCATCTCTGCCTAAAACACCCCCAGATTCAGGTTCTTAATCCAATCCCGGTTGCTAGTGGGACCATGCTCCAGGGGCCATCCTGCGACTGCTACCTGCAATCTGTCCCATGGCTGGAGTGACCGCTCCCGGGGCCTGGTCCCATTAGCACAGAGAATTGGATTGAATTCGTGAATCTGGGCTTGTTTGCGGAAAGATGCAGAAAATTGCAATTAATTTGCTTTCCTGCATCTCTGCACAAACCACATCCAGATTCGGGAATTAAATCCAACCCTCTTTGATGAGATCAATGTGTGCCTACCGTCTTCACCCGAATAGAACGCCCGGTAATTATCGCCTTATCTGGACTGGAAATTGCTCCAAATACAGATATAATGACCGGGCGTTCTATTCGGGTGAAGACGGTAGTAACTGGTGCTTCCATGGTCTTTTGACGAAGGGTCATTTATTGCCAATTTGACAATTGCCACCATTTTGACTAAGGGTCATTGTATTGATTTATTGCGTGTCAGTGGCCTGTTGTGTCAATCATCTCATCTACCCGGGCGGGGGGGGGCGGGGGGGGGGGGGGTCAACTAAGGGGTACCCTCTTCCATGAGCATTGTTGTTTCCGCTTGTGGGTGTGCCTCAAGATCCACTTGGGGCTGAGGTCTCCTTCACCGACTCAGGCTGCAAGCCAGGCTTCAATAGTGCAGTCTGTGTTTCTATGTAGAAGCCCTCTTCCATTTCCTGCCCGCCCCCTTAAAGGCCTGTGTTACACAGACACCACCATCTTCTCAAACTGTCAGCCTGGATGTAGGCAAACTCTGGGCTCACCATTTGCTGGGCCGCAGACATGGTTTCACATCCGTAGTGTAGGCCATAAGGGCTTAAACCACCAGTACTTCAGAGGCACTTTTCTCCGGGGCTGGAAGAGCAGGAGCAGGCCTGCACCAGTACGCCAAAAAAAAGACCGAACTGGTGCAGACCTGCTTTTCGCTAGTGCAGGGCCATTTTGCCCCGGAAGCCCTGAAAGTTGCACCGGTGTACAAGCTGCATATTTGATTCTTTGGCTGGGAAAAGTACTGGTGGTTTAAACTCTCTTCTGCTAAAAATGTTATTAGTATTCAGTACTATTCACCCATTGCTGGAATCCTCTCCTCCTTCACCCTCAGATTGTTCCCCTGTATACATTGCCTGGTGATGAATTGGGGCGGAGAGGTGTGGGCTTCCTTTTTTTTTTTTTTTTTYTTTTTTTTTTTGGAAGAATAGCCCTTGCGATATCCCTCTATCCTGGCGGTGGTAAGAGAACCGTCAGAATTGAGGGCTTATCTGTCGGGCTGCTCCATCTATTGGTGGGGAGCGGCACCTGCTGGAAACCGGGTCCAGGGTCCCATTGATACATCTTGTAACACAGATACAATACAGATATTGGTGTTTGTTGTTTCCTAGGGCTAAGGTGATAGTTGTCTCTACACGGGCCTCCGTTGTCCCTTGGCGCTGCTATTTTCCCCTTCCTTTCATGGAGCTCCTCCTATTCTATTAGCCCAGCCCTCAGGCTGATGGTCAGGTACAAAACCCACTCCGCATGGCAGTGGGGGATGCAAAATGGCCACCTTCTGTTGGAGATGCACTCGCCGTTTTGATGTCTGATCGGTAATGCCATGCACACGGTAAGCACAGCTCAGCGGCGCCTGCCCCTGCTCAGACATGGTTGCCCTTCCTCCAATGTCTGATAATCCCTGCACGGTAGGCATAGCTCAGTGGGGCGTGCCCGTTTCAGAGACACTTGTACTGCCTCCTAAGTCTGATAATCCCTGCACGTTATTGGTGATAGAAGTTTTGACATACAAATGCATAAGCAATGCTAGCCAAACACACTTACGACTACTGCACCAAGCGAGGGCCCACTTGCAAGGATAAGGAGATATTCCCTGCCAAGCTTCATTATCTATGGACATCATCTTTTTATCAGTGCAAGTGGGGCCTCGGCGGCGGGGAGTGACCGGACTTGGCACGCTCCTCCCTGAGCCCCTTATATTGATTGAAACCCCCATAATATAGCCATGTCTGCTGTCCTTGTTATGTTATGACAGGGGCTAGGTCCCACTTGCATGGATTAAGAAATATATTGGCCAAATATAACCGACATGGACGACCAATATCTGTCTCGCCAATACTCCGTGCCGCCAGGACCCCATCCCATGGGTGGGTACAATTCTTCCGAGAATCCACCCTTATGTTTTGTGACAAATCCATGACCAAGCGCACTTTGCGAAACAAACAATAAAAAGATACAGGAAAAACATGAAGAGCACACCAAAACCATCCTGCCGGCTAGTTCAGTAGGTTACACCTGAGCGGCACCGCATAGGTGCTGGGTTCTAATCCTATCCCCGTCACTTTCGGTGGCCTGAGGAGGATGGCCAGGGCCAGTCAACTCTGGTAGCTCGCTGGGGTGAGTTGTGCCGCCCTGTAACCCGTGGCAATGTGGGAGCGTCAGGCCAGGTGGAAGTGGCTTCTGAGGTCCTGCTGCAGCCGGTTGGGACACACCCAATAAAAAGAATTTTCAGGTTGAGTTCTGAGTCAGAATCATCATAGGTGACATCATTGGCTTTTAATTTATTACAGTGCTCGTCAGAGTGAACAGCCGCTTAGCTCAGTGGGTAGAGCACCGGTTGGGAAAATGTGCATTGTGGTTTGAGGTTGTGGGTTCAAAACTCTGCAGTCTTGTGCATATACACCGGCGGCCGTTGGCCAATGCATGGCTGTTGGGTTGGGTAATAAGGATTATAGACACTGCCTGTACCACCAGGGGGGTTAGTTACCGTTGTTGTATGCTGGGGTTTAGGCTATGAGAGGTTTGCCTGATGTTCTTTAAAGCCCAGGTTGTTGTAGACAGATGACAGTCACCCACAGTAATCGGCCATTCGGTTGTCCAGATGAGCCCCTCTGAAGACCCCACGCGCCCTTCCTCTCATCTTTTTGCCCTGGCACATCCCCACCCTCCTTGTCCTACCCTAGTGTTAACCACCCGGGACCACCGCCCATCACCATCTTGGCGGGGTGACCTGACCAGACAGCTGTTGCAGGCACCTGGGTTAAGCAGAGACCCCTACCCCCTGCTCAGACCCGGTTGAAGCAGACGCCGTGCAAGCCCGACTGCATGGGGTCTTTGGGAGCAAGGTATGAACATGCTACTACAGGTCTTCATGATGGTGCACAGTGACTCCCATCTAGCACAGTAGACTTAAGATCGTAGTTGATAGCCTAGTTGATAGCCTGGTAGATAACCTTTTTTTTTTTTTTTTTTTTTTAAGAAAAAAAGCCCATGTGATATCCCTCTATCCTGGCGGTGGTAAAATAACCATCGAGATTGAGGGATTATCTGCCGGGCTGCTCCATCCATTGGTGGGGAGCGGCACCTGCTGGAAACCGGGTCCAGCGTCCCGTTGATACATCTTGTAGCACATAGATTGGTGACTGTGGGTTTCCTGAGGCGGTGCTCCTTGATCATCCCGGGGCTCCGTTGTCCCATGGAACTGCTAAT